GGGTTTGTGAGATGATTATATATATACTATTCGCTTTTTGGACTCTTATCCACCTTTCTTGGTAAAATATCTGTTCATTTAACCTATTTAGGCCTCTAACTGTTATTGAACTGATACACTATCAGAAGTTAAGCGTAAATGAACTACTGCTAACTACTCAAACACATCTAAAACATGACAAAGGACCCAACCAGACTTTTTTTGTAATGAGTCACAAGCCAAAAAGATTGGGAACCAGTGGTTTGATGCACTGTATTTTGTAAGCTTCTCATTTTCTCATCTGAAAAGTAACTAGAACAAAATTGTACTCAAGTACTATACTGAAATAAATGCTATTATTTACTTTTCACTGTGGCTAAAAGAGCTTCAACAGTGCCAAATCACAAGTGCTCTTTTTGCATGTTAAATCTGCAAACTGCACTAAAAACTGTGGTTTCAAAATAAAACCACTCAAGGGATGTGGTACACACATATAGTACAAAGTGGGCTGTCAAATGCTGTTTATTGGAATACAACCTGATGTGACCCCCCTCCCCTCTGTAACAGTGTTTGTTACGGTGATTTCGTCACCCCAAAGTTAAAGTGCCTCTCCATGCAGTTTAAGTTTTAGTTTGTTTGGCCTTCACCGTAATGCCAAAGCTGTAATGTTTTGGATCTCTAGTCTTTTGAAATTCACACCTTTTATTAGATATGATGTAAGTTTAAGAGATGAATGGCTCCTCAGTGAGCGACTGAATCTGGATGTGTTTGCTCAGAAAAAAATGACACAGCAGTCAAAAGTACAGCACGGCCCAGGTTAAATATTGATGAGTGCAGCTTGCGGCTGCTTACTGTTGCCTGTACTGATGTACTGAGTCACAGCCTGCTTGTAAGGCGTGGACAACAAGAGCATGCAGGGCCCGTAACCCTCATTAATCTTTCACAACAACACTGAGACCAGACATCATGATCTATTATTATCTCTTTGACCTCTCTGGCCTCTGTGATTCTCAACACTTTGGCTAATACTTGCCACAGATTCAGTTATAAAGCAGTACAAAATGTTTATTGTACATTCAAGGCTTTGGTCACACATTAGAGTACAGACTGTATCACACAAGGTCATTATGAAAACATTATTTAGCTATACTATACAGCTTATTTTTCAGACAATGTGGTATGCCTTATGAATCTCGTACAGTGATGTATTATGTGCACTAAAGAACTAAGACAGTTAAATTAGTGGCTTTTAGACATGTTACATGTGACATGAGTTACTGAAGACAACAGTATTACGCATGATTCAGGAGTACATGGATGTAGATGACATGCACGCTGCATTTGTATTGAGCTCAAAATAAAGAAGTCCAGTACATATGAAGATAAATGAAAGTGCCAGGGTGAATAATTGTTCAGTTGAGACCACACAGCTGGTCCATAATTTCTCCCATCAGCGGAAAAAAAAAAAGCACTTAAAGAGAAATTTATTCATCACCACCAGTTTATATTGCAATTTAGGGGAGACTCCACTAAATACCCTCATATAAATAACAATACGTACTTAAGGTTTATTATGAATTGTGGTTTTGGACAACCACTTCAAAGCTTTCATTACATTTTCTTTTCTGTTTCTTACATGATGCAGTACAGATATATTTAGGTTTTCTCAGTCACTTACAGTCACAGTTTTTTTTCACAGAGTTGAGGAGTAAAATTGCCTTTGAGTTCAGATATGACTCACATGCTTCCTAATGCCATTATCAGAATGCGTAGTTTTAAATAGATAAACTGGGAGGGATTTTGTAACTGAGTGAAACAGCTGTATTGACTTTGCTCACAATTTGAAATGTCAGCAGAAGTAAGAAAGCTTATCATTTAAATCTTTTGGGTTAATTAAAGTCTATTACATAAAAAATACTCTGTGATGCAAGGCATAAATATTTATTTTAGAACACATACCTCATATTGCATTGCTCTTCTTTAATTGGAGGACCCATGGTCAAACAGCTTTTTATTGGCTTTTAGGTAGTTCTCCCCTGAGTTTGGCAGTGATCTTGTAATCTAAAGGCTTCAGTGTTAAACCATATGAGCAGTTCAAAGACAGGTCCTCACTGGGGCATTTCTCAAAGCTGCACTGGTGGAGTAGAATTGCAAAGAACAGAAATATCTCAACTTTGGCAATCTGGTCCCCAATACATCTTCTCTTCCCTGCTGAGAAGATCATAACATTGTTGGTGAGATCCTTGTCTAGGGAGCCATTTTCATCCAAGAAGCGCGAGGGCTCAAAGACGTGCGGATCCTTCCACTTTAGGGGGTCATGATTGACGGACCACTGATTGATGAAGACAACCGTGTCTTTGGGGATGTTGAGACCATCAACAGTGACGTCTGATGTTGTGGAGTGTGGGATGGTGACGGGGACGAAGCTCGTGAAGCGCATAGTCTCATAGATGAAGGCGTCCAGATATGCCAGGTTGCTTCGGTCCTCAATTGATGGCAGTCTGTCTGGGCCCACCACTTTGTCTATGAGCTCGTGTAGTTTGGTTTGGGTTTCAGGGTGTTTAGCCAGAAGGAGGACAATCCAGTGAAGCGCTGTGGAGACCGTATCCAGACCTGCTCCAATCAGATCTGACACCGTCCCCTCTGTGTGGCCTTTGGTGAGTCCGTTGTCAGTGTCAGCTTTGTCAATGACGCCAATAAAGGCATCGCTCATATCCCTCGTTACCTCTGGATTAAATGTCTCTCTGTGCTCCTTTACTTTGTTCTGGATAAACCCAAAGAACTCTTTATTCAGGTCTTTGAAGTTTTTAAAGACACTGCGGACTGGATTGGGGAAAGACTGAAGCCATGGCATCACGTCTACCAAGCTGCCAGCCCCTACTGTCTGTCCAAACTGATCTACCCTCTCTAACAAGGCTCTGAACTCAACATCATCGTGTCCATAGCGTTTTCCGAAGCACAAGGCGCAAATCACGTTAGCTGCAGCTACTGTCAGCTCATGAGCGGGGTTGAAATACTGGCCCTGAGAACTGAGTTTAAGGAAAATCTCAACTAGCTCTGTGGCTTCCGCCACAATTTGCTGCTCAAAGGCTTTTTTGGTCTGACTGTTGGCAGATGAAAATGCTCTGATCGTTGATTGAGCAATTTTCCTGTGCATCTTCCACTGTTTGCCGTAATTGGTGAAAGTCATACTTTTCCCCCCTGAGACAGCCTGAAAAGAGACAAAGTTTGGTCTGCCTGCAAACTCTGTGCTGTGCTGTATCAGAGCCTGACGTATCACCCTGTCTCCATTGAGAACCACAATATCGCTGCAACCAAGCCGTATCTGGTACACATTGCCATATTTTTTGGCTAGCCTGGCGAAGGTGATGTGAGGCATCTGGCCCAGCTGCATGGCGTTGCCCACCACGGGCCAGGCGAAGGGTCCCGGCAGTCTTCTCTTGAGCCTGAGGTTCCTGACCCACAGACATGCTTCCAGACAGAAGAGGAAAACAAAGGAGGCAACCAGAGCAGGCTGGACCTGTCCACTCCATTCCCTGATGATGCTGCTGCCCTTCACACCAAACTCTGTGTCCCCTTGAGCCATTGTGCTGTCCTGTAGTTTGTCTATCATCCACTGTAGCCAATAAAAAAGGAGGTTTTCACTTAAAATGGGAAACCAAGTGGTTTCTCCTTTAACAATCTTAAATATATTAAAATACAAACACTTAATGTTTTTTTGTCTTATAATCAAACTGATAAAATAGCCATACCAAAAAAAAAGGGCTCCGACAAGCAGCACTCACATGCTGTCTCACCCCTCCTTCACAGAGGCTAGTGAGAAGGGCTCGATCAGGTTGAGCGGTTAGCAGTGGTGCAGCACGTCTTCAGATGACCACTTTAGAAGAATGCAGATTCAAGCCTTAACACTTCGCTTATATGTATCTCTATGGTGGGAGGGGTCAGCGACTCAGGTTTTTTATTATCTCTCCCCTCCCATTTTGACCACAGCCTGCAGACCTTAGTCCTATTCCCTCTCAGGCCTCCTTCCAGCAACGTCCCTTGTAGGATGTTGGAAAAGGAGAGCAGCTACTTAATAGGCCCTGTTGCCAAAAACTACAGATTTATAGTTTGTTGCCAAAGAATATAACAGAGATTACCATTACATTTTTAAAGATAAACAACTCTCCATGCCATCTGTGGCCTGAAAGATATTTGTCACAAAATATCTAATATAAATTTGTTAACGTTGAAAAATAATGCATTTTATCAATATGTTGGAATGGATGGAATTTTAAATCGGTAGCATAGATTGTAAGTAATGGACAATGAGCTGGAGTCGATTGTATTTTCCTCTGGAATTAGATGATTTTGCTGTTTGCACTTTTCCTATGGACTTTCCATGACCATTTTAAACATGATTTGCTTTCTGTTATTTACAGCCAAGCCGTTAATTATAACCATACAGGGAAAAAAGCTCTGGGATATCACGATGAAAGCTGTGGGTTTCAAGATCCAAACACTGAACAGATACAAACAGCACGATTTATTATGCGCCATAAAAATATATATACAACGTTATTGTTGGCGTAATAGCCCTTTAAACACAGGTCACTGAGATAATGTAGCTGTTAGGTTTGTGGCTGCATCAAAATAGTTTTAAGTGGGATTCAGAACTGAGGACCCTGGCTGTAAATCTACTTATGTGGGTGCTTGTGCAACAAAAGGAAGAACTTAAAAAAGCATCAGCTTTGGTTTTAGTGATATTCAGCCAAGTCAAGTATTGCAGAGGTTTCTATTTTTGGAACAATGTGTAATGACAGACATCCAAACAATGGCGGTTCCTAATGTCACATTGTTGGCACATATCTGACAGAGCCAATAGTGGCTAAAAAATGCTTCAAGACTGACAAGCTAGTTTCATATTGTAGATGTATTGTGCACCTAGCTTCCCAGCTTTAAAGGAGTATTATGAAATTTTAGTTCAGCCTTGTTCTTAAGGCGAAACTGACAATTAAACTGGACACACTGAGCATTAACAATTTACTTTATTCATTTCAGATATAGCTTATTTTTCCATCATATAATGCCAACACACTGATACAAAATACCCTTTTAGACAAATGCCTTAACATTCAAGGCCCACTGAGTTTTGAACTGTTGCCATGACACAGACATGGAAACACATCCCTTGGCCATTATAACATCAATTCCTGAATACAGAAGCTTAAAGAGTGTGCAGTGACATCCATGTAGCTTTGAAAACGTTACCTTGTAAACAAACATATTTTTGAGAATGCCTCATGAGTGAAAAAAATTAAAATACTGCACTTGTTTTCTTTGAATTGGTGAGACTTGGGTTTGGCACGGGGTAGCTGCAGTGCTTGTACAGTAAAAGTGAACCCTGAATACATGAAGTTTGTGAAGTGTTCACGGTCCACAGCAAAGTCTCTTCTTCGTCCTTTAGACTGTGATTGATGCTCCTGGGTGAAAGGCTTCCACCGTCACAAATATGCCAGCCTTTTTCCCTCCTTTGATCAGCACTCTTGGTTTAATGTGTTCATATGCTTGGAGTACAGTAGATAGTGAAATACATTAAACTTCATTACGTTTATTGTCATACCCGAAATATGAAATAATAATAAAAAAATATTCTGTAACTGCTTTATGTGGCAAAGGTTAAATATATTCTTACATATAACATTTTGAACCATAAGTCATCAAGTGACTTGATAACATTCACAAGCATTTCATATAGTTCTATTAGTTTAAACTGACATTTAAGGGATGCAGCTAATTCCTCGACATCATACATGTACATGCTCAACAGTGGATGTAAAACAAGCACAAAACTCAGAATTAAACAATTATGTACAAAATCTGATCAAGTATAGAATATTTTGTGGAACAGAAATGTAATAATTTTTGCACTGATCCCAACAGTCCACAAGCTTGAATTCTACCTGCAGCGAATGATACATCTTTGAAATCATATTCTCAGCCCTGCACCAACAATAATTCAAATATAGACCATGTTAAAGTTTCCATTAAATATCATTATTAAATATGGAATCTTACAAAAGGATTTAGTGCAGGTATGCTGATACTCACTGTTAAATGTCATCGGTGAAAAAGTGTTTGCTGGCCTTGAGTCACAGTATTAGGACATGCTGTTCATGCTGGGGAAACTAAGCCAAGCAGCTTTCCCCTGAGCTTGGCGCTGACACAGAATCGGAGGGGCTTCAGTGTGAGCCCGTAGGAGCAGTCAAGAGTGAGGGGCTCAGAGGGGTCGCTTTCGTAGCTGCACTGGTGCAGCAGCACTGCTGTGAATAAAAACACCTCTACCTTGGCGATCTGGTTGCCAATGCAGCGTCTTTTACCTGTTGAAAAAATCATTACACTGTTGATTGTGTCTTTATCAAGGGCGCCGTTTTCATCAAGGAACCGTGTGGGGTCAAAAATGTGGGGATCCTTCCACTTCAGAGGGTCATGGTTGACAGACCACTGATTGATGAAGACCACCGTGTCCTTGGGGATGTTGAGACCCTCGATGGTGACGTCTGAGGTTGTGGAGTGTGGGATGGTGACGGGGACGAAGCTGGTAAAGCGCATAGTCTCGTAGATGAAGGCGTCCACATATGCCAGGTTGCTTCTGTCCTCAATTGATGGCAATCTGTCTGGGCCCACCACTTTGTCTATGAGCTGCTGCATTTTGACTTGTATGTCTGGGTATTTGACAAGGAGCAGGACGATCCACTGCATGACAGTTGATATTGTGTCTTGACCTGCTCCGATTAGATCTGTCACTGTTGCTTCGACAAAGTCTTTGGTCAGCCCGCTGTCTCTTCCATGCTCGATCACATTGATGATGG